CACCCGCACACATGCACAGTCCAGATAAAAAGGCAAGGTGGGTCAGATGTGGCCACAGGCTGTAGTTTGGAGACCCTTGTTCTAGATATACCATTTAAAGTACAAAGCATGATTCTCTACTCCTATTTCAGAGTAGTAGAGATAATGAGTTAAGCCAGTGGTCCCCAACCTTGGGCCTCCAGATGTTCTTGGACTTCAACTCCCAGAAATCCTGGCCAGCAGAGGTGGTTGTGAAGGCTTCTGGGAGTTGTAGTCCAAGAACATGTGGAGGCCCAAGGTTGGGGAACATTGAGTTAAGCTATCAAATAATGCAGCTGTTGCCATTTGGCAAGACAACTGGTGAGAAGCATTCAGATTTCATTATAACCACTTCCTCTTTCCTTTACATCACCTGAAAAGTACTAATTACACCTCTGAAACTGCCAACCCTGCCCAATACTATATTAAATATATTGGCATCGATTCATTGGCTGAAATCCTGTTGTGTAACTTATGCTTTTTGAAGAGTGATGTCACTGCCAAGAAATTACTTTCGGCAATTAAATAAAACTAATAATGATAATAAATTTTATCTCATTTTTTTTTGAACTCATGTATAATCCCTTTCATCATGTGGGAGTCATGGGGCAGAAGATGTCTTTATTTACTAAAATTCACTCATTGCGAAAAATATCATCACCCTTCCACAGACATAAGATATGCATGAGGATTTCAGTTATTGTTACTAATGGATTTTATGAAACAAAGTGTGTGTGTGTGTGTGTGTGTGTGTGTGTTTGAGGGGGGAATGGAACATTCTCACATCTACCCTGATCTTAAATTATTTAGGACTTTTTTTGTTACACATTTATCAAGTTTTGTAATATGGTAGCATGAAGGCACATGGTGCAATTCTTTAGCAGTGGTATAACATGCTGGCAATAAGCCACTCCTACCAGTCTAGCTTTACCACTCTGTTCCAGCTGTAATTTCCAGATCAGCCTCATGGGCAACCCAATATAAAGTGTGTTGCTCTAATGTAATATTGTGGTGACCAGTGCTTTGACCATGGTGGTCAAGCTATCCTTCACCAACAGAGGCTGGAGAGTTGAAGGGGAAAAAATCCACCAAATACCTTTGCTTCCATTGACCGTGCTGGATGAAGGAATACCCAGAGACTGTGTGCTGGCTCTTTCAGAAGGAATGCAGTTTCATTTTGAGCTGAAATGACCTGCTTCCTAAACGTGGGGACCATTCACCCTCAGAGCTCCATCTTGTCAAGAATCAATACATACCCACTCAACAAAAGATAGACAAATACGTCTCTAGTTGGCAGGCTGATAACTGTGTTAATTGAAAGTTTGGACGAGCTGGATTCGCCTGTGAGTTTACATTCTTTGAATCCTGATGGAAGACAGAAAGTCACTGGTGCCTTAGCAGACTTAGTGTGTAGATGGTAGATATGGATGCAGCATTATACAATATTGCAAAAAGAAGTATGTGGGTGCCTTCATAGATTGTCAAGACCTCCTGTCTAGCTGGATGTGTTCCCTACTTAGGCATGTTCTGCATGAGTGACTGTGGTGCACCTCTCCTATGGCTGAGGGGCAGCAGACCTCTGGGAGCTGTTGTGTGCTGAATTGACACCTCTGATCACATCAGCACACTATCACCTTGTTATGTTAAGGACAATGGAGTCTGTAACTATAATTTCCATCTATCCTAATGGCACCCACTAAAATGGTAACATGGCGTTCATGGAGTAGCGTATAAATGTGCTTTATAAAAAAAAGCCTGTCAATGGTCCTTTAAGCCAGGGGTCGTCAACCCCCGGTCTGCGGCCCGGCACTGGTCTGTGGGCTTCCTTTAACTGCGCCGTGGATACGGATCTCCGCCCCCCGCACACACGGGGGCGTGTCATGCTTTCCGATCTGCGACCCGGCACTGGTCTGTGGGCTTCCTTTAATTGCGCCGTGGATACGGATCTCCGCCCCCGCACACACGGGGGCGTGTCATGCTTTTGCGCATGCGCACGAGTGCAACACAGCCACCCACAAGCGTGACTCGCCCACCCACTCTCAAAATCTGCCTGGCTTCTAATTTCAGACAACCTGGAGGGGCAGCAGCAGCGGCACCTACTTGCCAAGCGTGGGGCTTTGTAGGGGCTGGGTCCCACCTGGTCCCCCCAAAGCGCCCACGCGTCCAGAAGGGGAGCCCTCTCCCTGCTTGGCAGTCTTCTCCCTCAGGGGTTTGGCGCCACCAGGGCTTCTGCTTTTAGGTCTCTCTTTCTCCCTCCCTCCCTGCTCTTTGTGGGTCACTCGAGGCTGCTGCTGTTGTTGCCTCGTCCTCTCTGCCGCTGAGGTGAAGGAGGGCCCCCGCTTCTCCCTCCTCCCACCTGGCGCTCCTCCGCTCCCTGCCCAGATGTGCAGCGGGAGGGGGTGATGCCAAGAGAACAGCATTCTCACGCGTGCTCCCCTCCCGGTTTCTATTCGCAGCCTGCCGCTGAGAGCTCGCGCCTGTCCATCCGTCCGTCTTGACAGTCTGTTGCTCATTCCCTCCCTCCCTCTCTCTTCCTTTCCTTTTCCTTTCCTGCTGCTGCTTGTTTGCTGCTGCCGTCGGGGGCAAAGAGGAACAAACAAAAAGGAAAGAAATATTGGTATCTAATAGAACAGAACAAAGCCTATTTTATATTTGTTTCTTCCATGCAGGCAGAACACAACATATTTCAAAATATATTATTATTGTCACCCAGCAGTTCAACGTGTGTAGCACCAAAGACTGAAAGGAAGCAGTTTGCTTCAGTGTGAGTAGAATTCTGGCTTCGGGCCCTGATGTAGTTTAGTTTTATGTAGGACCCGCCATGTACCACAAAGAGTTCTTACTATCCAATATTCCACTATTCCTTTCCATTCCCCAGTATATGACTTCTGAATCACCCATCCCCTTCTGCCTAACCAAATGCAGACTGAAAGAGAAAAAAAAGGAAATTCAATTTTAAAGCAAGGAACATCTTACTCCAACACGTCCAATTGAAGAGACAGTGATCTTCTCATCCCTTTCCAGTTAGAGGCTGGATGTCATTGTGGCCATTTTGACCATGCATGCAACAACTCTAAACAATGATACTGTGTTGTATCCAGACCAATTATTGATTATTCTTCCTGCTTCTTCCATTCATTTTACCTTTTACTTGTATGATCAGCTGTAACAATCTGTCACATACCATCTCCAACTGCAGCTCTTGGAAACTTCTGTTTAAAATTTATAAGGGTCCAACCCTTGGATCTCTATCCTTCAGGATCAAGAGAAAGAGGAGAGCTTTTTTTTTCTTATGTCCAAATGGGAATGCCACTAGTTTGATTTTTCTTGATAAGTCAGCAATGCTGATCATGTGAGCCCTGTCTCGGTAATTCACCTCTTGTGTGATAAGTGGCAGAACCAGTAGGAAATCAGTATAGTGTCAGGCAAGTGATTATTCTTGTGGATATGAGCCCTGTCTCGGTAATTCACCTCTTGTGTGATAAGTGGCAGAACCAGTAGGAAATCAGTATAGTGTCAGGCCTGTGATTATTCTTGTGGATAGCCTACATTTGGAGGGGTGGAAGATGGAACTTTGCTAGTGGCAGTCAAGGCTGCTTTTGGGATGAACTGTGGAGCTGTTGAAAAAGAAGGCAAAAGAGAAAATGTAGAGGAGACATGTAAATTGTCTGGAAAGCATTTGTGAATTTTGTATTTAAAATATTCCGTTGTGGTCCCTTGTTGACTATTGACACTTTGGAATATACAGTAATACCATGAATTTCCAAAACACTTTAGATTTATTCACATGATATTTTAAAGTTCATAAAATTAATATTCAGTGTTTTCCTCCACCACTGTTATTTAATCTCTGCCCACCCACTCCCGAAATAAAGAGACGGACACAGGTGTTGGAGTTAACTAGGGCCACACTTTATTGCTTTTAACCTCCAATCACTCTCATCCTGCAGAGGGGCCTGGATCTCATGTGGATCCCTGGGGCAGGCTCTATCTAGGGGTATCTCTTACCCCTGCTCCAATCCTAAGCGGGTGAGTATAAGCTGTCCCCTGAACAGCTCATACCCAGCTGGCCACAGACTGGGAAGAAAAACCTCCCTATCTGCCATCCATCCAATTGTCTAGAACTAAGACATGCAATGGATGGGACTATACTTTATTCACCCCTCATCCCTGCAAGTGAAATGCTAGTTCCTGGTTGCTGTGATGCTGGGTGCAGTAGGACCCCACGTGCTTCTTGGGAGCTCACTGAAACTCACCTTCTGCACTACCTGACAGTTTGACCTATTTAAGCGTGACTCAAACCTAGAATAGCCCTCAGAATCCCATGGGTAAACAGTGTGGGATAGGCAAAAATACGTCCACCCACCTTTTATATGCCAATCAGGCGAGACGGACCCAAAATTCCTATCCGGCCTCAAAGCGACCACCTCAGCCACACTGGACCCAGGTCAGGCAGGTTAACTCAAAGGAAAAAGGGCTGGCTGGGGGCAGAAGGATCTTATAATTGCATCAACATCCATCCCCAGCACAGCCAATTGTGGGAAGTGCCAATTGGTACCTCTACCTGCCTATGTCAGATCAGGAGACGTGGGAAAAATAGTTCCAAGCCAGCGTATGAATTCATGCTGGCAGAGGTATACATTGTCCTCCAGCTCCAGAAATACAGAGATGGACTCAAGTGTTGGAGTTAACTAGGAGCACACTTAACTGATTTTAACCCCTCTATTGAGGGGGGGCATGTTATAAATGGTGTAAGGGATTGGTTAGGGCTGCCAGGCATGTGGGGCATGGAAAGGATGAGGGGAGTGCATAATGGGATGTCTTTTGTACATGTGGGGCAGAGGAGTCGTCATGTGGCATGGTGTGGGATTGGGAGGGGAGGATCTCCTGTAGGGGAGCCATACGACTGGGAAGAAGGTGGAGTGTGTATGTATGAAACGGGAGTTGGGTGGGTCTAGAGGTGATGGCTTTTTTGGAAAAAGTAATAGTATGTTTGGGTATGTGCATATGAAGAGCAATGATGGGGGATTGTGGGTAGGAGGAGAAGAGACATGTTCTGT